CAATGTAGAAAAAAAAAATTAAAATTGTTCGTACAATTTTTAAATCGTTTGAACGATTCAGATAATCGTACAATGTGGCACGAATACGACGTCGTCGGAGAGTGAAACATTTTTGAGATCAAATTTCAAAATCAAACAAACAAAGTACATGTTAACTGAAAGGATGATATCCCATTATTTATCTTTTAGGATCACCATTTAAATCCCTGAAAATATATAGGAATCGTCTTGAAAAAAAAAATAAATAAATAAAGCTTGTTAATTCGTAGGTTTATGACGCAAATATTAGGTATGGCAATCAATTTTGAATATACCATGTAATAGATCTATTCATGGACGTTATTGTATGCACACTGAATCTATACTTTAACGGTACGTATCCAAATCATGTCCGCCCACAAAATATTTTATTGCTTGTACTTTGAATTGAAAACAAATTCCCATTGATATTCTTTGAGAAAAAATTTTAGGAGTGGTTACAATAAAATGCACATATATACCTACATTGCAACACATGTTTTACAATTAGTAACAAAGCTCTTTCTCTGCCCACCTTCTGCCTTTCCTTATGTGGTCCCAGATGTGAGAGAAATCAATACTTTAGCCCCTACAAGCAAAGGCATGTGAGCCGGTCTTATTGGACATTCAAATCACGAATTTCTCTCTCACCCCCACCCCCAAGTCCAACTCCCTTTTAAAAATCGACTTATACTAAATTGAATACAAGTACATGTAAGACAGCTTTTATCAAAGCAGGTACTGAAATGAGTGTATGAAATTTGGTTAACTTTTGATAAATATTTTGTAAGATTCGCAATTATAAAATGGCTTTTGGAACTGTCTGTGTGTTACCCAATACAGAGTAAATGTATGTTTTACAAATAATACTACAGAACCTATAGACAATGACCCTAAAAATTAATTTTAGTATTAGCTCATCCTTAAAGATGGCAAATGACACGCTTTGAGGGTATTGTATAGTGAAGAATAGGATTTGAGTTACTGAAAATATGTAGAAATTGTCTTTTAAAAAATTCATTCATCCTTTCAACACCTTTACAGGCTATAGCTGCAGATAATTGTAACCGAATTCCATTGATATTCAATAGGTTTAAACGATGTACTTTTGACGGTTTAGATTAAAATCAAACTAAGGAATGCTGGCGTACCTACAAAGAAAAAATAAACGATAATATCCTCTAAACTTTTTTAAATGCCTTCTGCATTTACCTGCTGATGCAACAAAAATTCCTTCGAACAAAGAAATATAATGCAGTACATTGTAATTGATATGGATTTCTTTCAGAAAAAAGACAGAGTGCTCCTGCTCTCCTCACACACACAGTGTCACTTTCACAAATTTAATAAAACCCTTCATTGAACCGTTCGAGATTGTGTTTTTACGTGAGCACAGAAATTACGAAATAATGACTTTAATCGAGGCTTCTGATGTTCTTATTTGGTCACTTTGTTCGAATAATTTACCTATTTAGAAAATTGTACAAACGTAGAGTATGCATTTGAGTATCGAATCAACGCTGATGATGAAGGTATATTACTCCATTTTGCTGCATAAGTAAGGAAGATTGACAATTTAAAAGTTACAGTCATCACGTTTATCATAGTGCTTTGTTGTCGGATTACCATAATGTTAACAAGAAAGGAGACATCTATTTTCTATCAATTCAGTACGGTACCTGTTGTTGATTATTTGAACGTCCCTCTTGAGTTGCACTGAGACGCTACCACTTGCCAGCGGAGAGCTGCAAATTAAGACCACCAGGAAGTGTTTCGCACAAAGTTAGCATTTGTATGTTCAGTAGTTGAGATCTTCGTGAAAGTGACACTTTTCACTTGTCTAATGACGTGATAAACCAATTGCAACAAAAATGATATCTTCCTCATACAGCCTGCACTGGCAAACGTGTCCGATAATATTTTATGTAGATCACTTAATTTTCGCGACACCTTATTTTCGCGAGATAGTCATGACTCTTGATTAGCGAGACAAAATTTTTAGGAATCGTGGTTATTGCTTTATATAATCTTAAAGAATACTATTAAAAACGAGAATTAAATTTTCGCGAGCACACTGTCTCGCGTAATAACGCGAAAATAAAATAAAGTTCTCGCGAATAAAAAATGATCTACAGTACAGACCATGATATAGTTAATATTCAAAAATTAAAAAATGCAATTAATTTTACTGGCGTTATAGGTAAAAATACTTCGAATATGCAAGTCACACGATACTGTCTGTCGTACAGATAATTTCATAGAAATGTTGGTTTGAAAATATTTTATTGTTTAGGTGTAAATAACAAAAAAGGATTGGACACAAGTTTTTAAAAACGTCCTCTCCTTATAGTAATGTTAACAATATGGTTTTATTAAATTGAATATGATATTGCACAATACTTCAACAGTATGTGTTACGTATAGAACCTCTCAAAGCACGTGAAATGATGTAGATAAATCCATACCTGCACGGAAACATTGCAAAACATTATAAAGTTCATATTTTCATTTCAAAAGTTTCAATAGCTTCCCGCATGCGGAAGGCCTTGGAAGTCATATGAAGTTTCCTGCTTTCAACAGCTGCACATTTTGACAAACTAGCTGTTTCTGTCACAGAATTTAAAGTATCCATTAGCTGGTCAATATGTGTTATTCAATGGCCATAATTTATGTAATTTAATGAAAGGAGGGGTGTACAACATTGGGAAAATACATCAACAGCCTTTGATAACAGATCCATATGTGATTATATGTAGTTACACACAAGTGAAAAACAGAATTACAATTTATATTAGTTAAGTATCTATCTTGCATGGACTCATAGTTTTAGAAACTTTATTAACCTTCATGGTTCAAATTTCATTCAGATTGTCACTAGTATGAACATGACTTTAAGGTGTAATATTTAATTTGCAATCAAAAACTTTTGTTGGGGTTTAACTTTCGTTGTTTTCGAGGTATTAAAGGACCCACAAATTCATGTACACCATGAAATCTAAAATGATACATACATAACTAGTTAAACATTCTTAATTCACGAATTTTCAAAGTTTTTATTGTTATTTTCCAATAGTGACAAGGAGCACGCAGCGGGTGTGACAGGTCGGCTGTTGGAACGTTCGATCCTCCATGGCGCCTGTTCCCGCCTTTAATGTTTTTAAGGTTTGCATGTTTTTGCTCTGCTCCTGTTTTGTATTGTTTTGTGAACTTTTGATCTTGAATACAGTTCGTAATCTCCGTGTGTTTCAAGTTTTGACTCTTTAAACAAACGTTGAATTTTAAATTGATCAACTTTGATAAAAAGTTTATGAATGTTCTCCCTGGAAATATTAATTATTATTTTTAAGCTGAAATCATTATACAGATCTGTGCCTCCACTGTAAAATGCACAAATGTAAGGCGGTTTTGAAGATTTGATAAGTATCCAATGAGGTGAGATTCCCTAATTGTATTTGAAATAAGATATTTTTAAGTTGGTGCCTACTACAAGAAATATTTAGAAATACAATACTTCCTAGTTGTAGGGGGTATTTTAACTCTATATCTACCCTTCCGCATTCTTTCATTCATATAAATCAACAAGATATTTTGAATTTTGTATTTTAATCAACACAATCAGGAAGTAAAGCATTTTGTTGACGTTATTCTTTTGTTATCATTGTCCATCTGCGTGAGTCCGATAGTAAATCGAAACTGCCCAATGAAATTTAATTATTTTTTTATTGATTGCTTCTGTTATTTAGTTTCGGATTCTAACATTTGAATTCTAATGAGTATTTTTACTATGGTATTTTTTCTGGTTAAGGAAGCTCTCAACACTGCACACGAAAGAGTTCTAATCATTAAGTAGATTTATGATGTTAAAGTGATATCCTCTTAGAAGTGAGATAGAAATAATGAATAATAACAGTTAATGATTGTAACAGACTAAAAAGTGCGTAGCATAATGATGGACCAAGAATAATAAAATTATTGAATTCATCGTTAAGATAAATTTTCCAAGTGTAAGTAAACAACAGTGTTTTTGATCACCCATAATCCGTTGTCTTTGAACATTTTTATGCAGAATTAAGGGAAATACCTATGTTGAAAATGAATTAACATTAACGTTAACGGTTTTAACATGCACACCTTTATATGATATATTTTTTCCCAAGTCCAAAGAACGCTTTTTGTTAGTGTTTAGAACTTCCTTAAATGCATAAACGTCAAAAACAGCTTGACATTTTCTCACAATTTGATATGCAAAATTCAATTTTCAGCATTCGGGTGACTTGAACATGTAATCAAAGACAGAATTAAATTGAATATAAGTAATCGTCAAATTTCATTGCATGTTATACATTTCCTGAATGCCATTGCATTATCTTCAAATCACCAGTTGTCATTCTGTCCATCGTGAGTTAAACGTGAAATAAAATCTTATGATCAGTTCTTCATAGGAATATAATGTTTAAAGAAGTAGACAGATTGACTTATCAAACTAATTTGGCACAAATAGAAAAAAAATAATGATCTCTAATTGCAATAAAATTGCTCACGAATTGAAAATAAATTCATGTGCTTTAAATGTACTTTAACATTTAATTAAATACAGCGTAGGTTCGTTACATGTATATTTTTCTATAGTTATAAATCTTACAAACAATTATCAGACCAGCCATATTTTAATGGTTCCCTTGACAAACTGCCGACAGATCGGACATTTCCTCATGGCCGGAGCACAGTCTGGACAACAACAGAGATATCCACAAGGTAACATGGCGATAGAAGCCTCGTTCTCAAGACAAATTTTACAAAACCGGAGATCCTTTAGTTTTCTGTTTCCTTCAATAAGTGATGTTGTATCTAACTGATAACGTAATGGTTAAAACTCTACAAATAAAATTATCTTTGTTTGTATTCACGTTATATGTGAAACAATTTAGCTTGATTGATTTGTGAATTAAGCCCTCTTTATAATTCCATGTGATTAATTTTACCTTCTAGTGTCATCGAAGAAAATGATTGACTGACATCCCATTTGTTTTCTGGAATACGTGTCTCAAGATCTAAAAAGAAAAGGACACTCTCTCTTTCCAATTTTTTAAACAAATAAATCAATTTCTCTTGGAAATTACATTACTGATCAGTATAAATATAACTTATCATTTCCATTATTCAAGTTTACATAAGATCGTTCCCTGTGTATCTTTTCAATGTTGTTTGGTGTCAGTTCTGACGATGCTAAAGCAGAGGAGAGTAACGTTTCCCCCGAGTTTCTGTCCTCTTGATCCAAAAGGATTTTTAGTAACTCTTCAGCTTTCATATCTAATGCCTCTGAAATGTTGATAACCATAATAATATTGCTGAAAAAATAAAATATAACGGTCCTCAAAGTCTTATCATGGAATTTATTATGTTGATAAGCCCTTATCCTATTTATATATTCTCAATATAAAATATTTCACATATTGAGGCTGTATAGAAATTATATTATTAATACATAACTTGATATGTGTAAATAGTATCCTTAGTGTTGATAAGATTACTGAGATAATTTTCATTACTTGTTCATTTCCTTATAAATTACCGCATTAATAATATTAAATTAGATTAAAAAAAAAGGTAATTACTTGTTCTTTCACAAATTTCTAGAATATGAAAAGGGCATGTTTAGGACTAAATTTGAAATAAAGATACATTGTATTTTTTGGCGGCTTATAAGTGATTTCATTTCATTTTCTCGTCAAAGTTTAAACAAACTTTTATGTAAAGTTTGTGAGTAAAAAAGGCATGGGTTTACACATTGATAAATTCTTTAAAAAGAACGTTTAATTCTTAGAATTCCAATTAGGAATTTTTAAAATTATTAAAATTATTTCACTTTGAGGCCTTAACATGCAGCATAGGAATACTTCTGCCATAAAGAAACATATTCGAGATGAATATCGATAAAATTCAACTAAAATTGTCAGAAACAATTGTTACAGAAACTTATAAAAACTCATCGTAAAAACTGCTTTCGACATTGCTGACGATATAATTACATATTTTCAGGCTTCATATAAAGTTTTCTCGATGTTTAAATTCGAAGATGACGACGAGAAAAAATACTTAATTCTGTAAGGGCATTCCATAGCTGACTGTCTAGACAAGCATTACTATATATTTTCTTTCTTTTGCCTTATTTTAATTACACTAAACTAGTTAATTTTGACAGTATAAAAAAGGATGTATTATTTTTAATTAAGGGCCATCGATATCTCATGGACAATTTCGTTCTTCTCGTTATTTTTTTTTAAATCAGCAATACCATTTAAGGAAAATAATCAAATTAAGAAAAATTCATAAGAATTGTTTCTTATCTGTCATTATGATTTGAATATCATGACGCTGTTAAATTTGAGTTTAGATCAAACAATGTATTTCTTTTTAAATAATTATGCAATATATCTTCAAAGAAGGTCAAAATTTTGACAATTTTATGAAATAATTTTAAAAATTTCGTGATAATGAATAAGCATAAATTTTAAGTTAGATATAAATTTATACAAGTGGTGTTGCATAAAAAAAAATTATATCGCTGTGCTAGATCTTGGCATTTAATTGACATCTTTAAAGGTTTTTCCTTGTGAAGATGTGTCAGGGTTTATTATAATTAGCTGAGATTCTAAGTAAAATCTGTACTGCTTTAGATCGAATTTCATTGCTTTTCTTCGAACTACATCGAAGGTAGAGTTTTAATCTGTTATCTAAGTGTGTCAACTACTTGGAAAATAAATAGACAGCAGATTTCCTACAAAGATTTCATAAAAAATATGTTCTTTATTGTATCAAATATTTCTTTCTCAGAACACATTAATTTGTGGATTGCAATGATTTAAGTTTAGAGTTTAAATCCCTCTTCTGTGGAACCGATTGCGAATTATAAGTAAATGAACATTATTATAGATCAGTGCTTTCTGAGAATTTGTTCTTTATTTCCAGCCTAATTACAGATCTGTGCATATCTTTTCAAACTTTAAATGATATTAAATTGCAAATTTGTTTATGTTTAAATGAAGTGTAGTTTACAAAGAAGATAGATTGCGTAAGATTCTCAGAATTTAATAATTGTCAACTTTACTGTCATTGTGTAGTTGAATAATTCTCAAACACCCTATGTGAAAAGGTGGAACGTGAACAAGTTTGGAAACTGCTTCCAATAAGCATCCTGTATTTGGCAACCATATGTTGATCCGGTTATTATCTTTATTAACATTTTTTGGTTATTTTATACATAGTGAAAATATCAAATTTATGTGATGAAATATATGAGGATCACGAAACAAGATTCAATTGCAAGTTCAAGAGTCCATTAAAAGATAAAAAAAAAAATGGAGCAGCACAAACACAGACCTCTAAAACATCAGAAGTGGGATCAGATGCCTTGGAGGAGTGAAAATCCCCTGTCGACCGGTCATATCCGTCGTGTGCTCCTTCTCACAAATAGGGAAATAAAAGAAAAAAATCTTCGACAGTTAGATATGCACATAATAGCTGAACAGTTTGTAAAAAAAATAAAAAAAAAAATAAATAAACATGAGTCAACATGTAACTGAATGATATTTTGTATTTTCTGACAAGGTTATTGTCTCCACGATAACAACGGATAGATTATAGATACTCACTAGCTTGGCCATCTAATTCGCCTTTTACTTTAACTATTTCTTGCATGTTTTCCGTACGATTAACTCACAGAACAAATAATTTCATTATAAAAGTTACAGATTATATGTTGCAACTACGTGTGCATCAGTGTTAAATAATAGATTATAAAAGTTATCTTTTTAAAACTCGCAATCGGGGTGCAGCAGAACAAAAGCAATATTTTACATTATTATATAGTTTATTTGTAGTCCCTATATAATCTATACATGTACAAACGTGAACATTTCATAAAACTACATATTCACCGGATTTGAGGCCTTATTTAGTCATTTACCTATTCACCTGTGGGTCAGTGCGCGTGCAGCATTGTAATGCAAAAGATTTGTTTGACCTTTTATTTGTGAAACAAGATGAAAACAATTTGAAATTCTGTTTTGTTCTTCATGCATTGTGACGTCACAATCAACGCCTCAAGCAAGGTTGCAACGGCCGCTGTCAGCTATGAACCTGTGCAAGAAAAATATAAGACAAACTCATTGAAATTTTTTTTAATACATTTTAAAATTGAAAAAGAAATCACAGAGATTGGAATCTGAAATTTGGGCTTTTTGTTTTCAATGCTTTATTTATTCAAATCTGGACTATATCATAAAACAATTATAAACTCTTTAATGTTGAATGTAGTTTGTGATTCACCACATAAATATCAATATTCAATACCAAAAGAGTCCGTAATTGTAAATTATTATACCTCCTCATAAATATTATGCCCAAAGCGTTATTTGATTGGTTCTAGGTTATCACGTGATTTGGCCGTAAAAGTTCATATTTCACGGCCGTCGACACGCGTTTCATCATATTCCACCTTTTCGGAACACCGAGTGTATTTTCCCGCAATATTATAGTTCTCGTCAAACGAAAACTCCCGAGAGTAGTAAACGTCACAATAGCCAGGTTTACGTCTTAAAATTGATGATAATTGATGATTGTTGACAAAAGGGTTTTGGTAACTTTACGTTAAAAATGTAAGTGAATTTGAGAGCGATGCCGAATTTGAAAGTTTATTTCAAAGGATTTGCTTGTTTCGGTTATATTACAATTCTTGGCATGAATGTTCGGGAAACATGAAGACTTATACAGCCAAGAAATATCATATTCCCCTCGGGCGAAGCCCTCGGGGAATATGATTTTTCTTGACTGAATAAGTTTTCATATTTTTCTCACTATAAGGCAATAAATGTATAATATTCTCTGTTTCTTTTACTATTTGTACATTTGAATCCACGTTATTTATGCATAAAACCACACTTAAAGAAAAACAATTCTAATCCAATAGTTTTGTAAAACACTTTTTGATTGGCCAATGCACTGATGTTTGAAGCAGTAAAACGAACATTGATGAGCGTGAAAGCTTTTTCATTGTGACGTCATAATAGAGCGAAGCAAAAACACAATGCTCCGTGACGTATTTCATGTAATAAAATTCATCAAAATAAGACGTAAACAACAAACAAAATGCATAGATTGCATTAGAATGGGAATAACTACTCTACTAATTTGGTATTCGCGACCGTTAATGCTGATTAAACGGTCACAAACATCCGTTTTACCGGCTCCGCTTTTTCGTCGCCGGTAAAACTCAGTTTGCTACCGTTTAATCAACATTAACGGTCGCAAATACCAAATTTGAAGATAGTTATTCCCTAATTTAAATGTCTACAACGAAGTGTCGATATCTTGTATCAGCAGTTTCAAGTGATCAAAAGTGCTCTTGACCTTCGCCGACACTGATAAGACATTGGATGACAACTGCATGTCAAGATCTTTGCATGATAATTTTCCATTTGAAAATTTGAATTTGAATATCGGGAATTCACAGTTGTCGAGCATTTGTCAATGCACATGGCGGTCACACGCAGTATTAGGTCTTTTTTAAAAACATTTTTATTTGTGATTCAAACAATATCATTTTGTAATGAAATCAATTATACCTTTTTTCAAAATAAAGAAAAAAACAATTTTAAGGCAATCTTAAGATGTGATTGATAGTAACATTCGCATAAGGCAGGACTACATTGTAACGTACTTATGCATAAGAATGGCGGACTAAAAGTTTTGATTAGTGTATGAATTAAAATATCCACAGAGATGGTATTCCCCAACTGAATTGGAAATAAGAGATTTTACAGTTAGTGCCTACTACAGAGAGTGTTAAGAAATACGATTACTTCCTATATCTAGGGGTATCAAAAATAGCTTCAATATCTATATCTTCTCTTCCGCATTATGTCCATTCATAAAACAAACAAAAGTTTCTGAATGAGAGGTCTATCAATCAGTACAAACAGGAAGTAAAGAATTGTGCTGACGTTATTCTTTTGTTGAAAATGTCAACTGTAGGAGTCCAATAATACTGAGTAAATCGAAATAGTCAATGCTGTATTATCTGATTTTCATTGAACATTTCAATTGTTTAGTTGTCAAATTCTAATCTTTGAATTTGAATGGAGCATTTTAAAATAAAATTTATTTTGACAATAACATTTTTTCTGTTTAAAGTCGAATACAACCAGGAACCTTCTCATAAATTGAAATGGAAGTGTCAATTTTCAAAATTACATTAAGCTGAACACGTGAATTAATTAAAATCTTTTAAGTTTGACATTAAAACACCTTCAATATGTAATACTGCAAACCAACTTTTATTCGCGACGACTTTATTTCGCGATTTGCAAAAGATAAAGAAGTTTGCGATGATTAATTTTCGCGATCAAAGCCTTTTTGGATCTGTTATTAATAGAACACATACACTTTAAGGACCGGTTCACGGCGAGAAATATTCGCGACGAAGTGGCTCTCACGAACATCGCGAAAATTTCTCGCACGCAAATAAAAGTTGGTTTACAGTAAATGAAATAATTAAATTGTATTTAAATACTTTTGTGTGTTCTTTAAAAACAACAGACAATCGCCAAGTAACATTGCATGTAGTGCATATCTTGAATGCCATTGCATTATCTTCCATTCATCACTTTCATTTCATCCATCGTGAATTTAAACATTAAATAATATACATTTTATGGAGGTAGATAATTGACTTGTCGAACTAATTTGGCACAAATATGGAATAAACCATGATCATTCCAATAAAATTAGTTATGAATTAAAAATAAAAAAATATATTATACTATTATATTAAATATTATAGATATCATTAAATAACACGTCTCGTGGGTTACATGTTATACATGTATGGCTTTCATTAGGCTAAAAATATTCCAAAGCATTGTCAAACCAGCCATGTTTTAACCGTCCCTTTGACAAACTGACGACAGATCGGACATTTCCTCATGGCTGGAGCACAGTCTGGACAACAACAAAGATGACCACAAGGTAACATGGCGATAGAAGCCTCGTTCTCAAGACAAATTTTACAAACCCGGAGATCCTTTAATTTTCTGTTTTCTTCAATGAGTGACTTTGTATCTAAATAATACGATAAAAAATGGTAAAGACTTCATCGAATACCTTTTGCTTGTATTCAAGCCATAATCATATTAATCACTTTAGCAGGGTTGATTTCACAATTAACTCATTTTTTTAATTCCACTGTATCAATTTTACCCTCTAATGTCATCGACGAAAATGATTGACTGACATCCAAGTTGTTTTCTGGATTGCGTGTCTCAGAATCTTTAAAGAAAAGTAAAGGAAGACACTCTTTCTTTTCCTTTTTTAAAATAATAATTCAATTTCTCTTGAAAAAATATATTACTGATCAGTAAAATTTTTACTAACTCACCATTTTCATTTTTGATATTTCCTTCAGATCGTTCCTTGATTGTCTTTTCAGTGTTATGTTGTGTCAGTTCTGACGAGGCTGAAGCAGAGGAGGGTAACCTGTCCCCTAAGTTTCTGTCCTCTTGATCCAAAAGTATTTCTAGTAATTCTTCAGCTTTGATATGTATTGCCTCTGAAATGTTGATACACATATTATAAAATTGTTGGAAAAAAAGAATATAATTAAAGGTCTAATCATGGAATTGAATATGTGGATAATCCGTAATCCTATGTACAATAGTGTTTGTGAATAGAAAATAAATGGCTTATTAAAAGCTAAATAAAAATTAGAGATTGTATCAAAGTTTTATTTAAAAATAATAATAAGAAAACATCCTTATTATATCTGTATATATTTGTTGTAAAAATAAAACTAGTGAAATGTAGTGAAATTTAGACAACATATAACAAAGAAAAATGTTTAATTATGCTTCTCTAGACTGTGTCTTCGTCTTCAAAATTAAAAATATATATGAGCCTTAAGTATGCATTTATTTCATTAGCAATGAACATGATGAAGGAAGCATATAAACATATATATTGATTTGAACCAAATTTAAGATTAACCTTACCACTGGCATTTTACTTTATTTTTCATATAAACCCATACCCAAGCAGAATGAATGTGTATGTTTCGTAATAAAGTTCCGTTGTTACATGTTAAAAAAGTTAAAGGAATCTGACGCTGAGATAATCTTTAATCAAGGGTGCAACTTAAAACTCAAGATTCGAATCGTTTAACGTTGTGCTATCGCATTTCCTCTTTACCAGCAGAAATGTACTGGGGATTTTTTTTTACTCAGGGACTCATTTGTTCTTCCCATTTATTGGTCCAACGAAGGAACCACTATATTAACTATCTTTATGCTACTGATGTTAAAAATCATAATGAGAACTGTTATATAAATAATACCTTTTGTTTCTTTCAAAAGATCAAATGCCTCCTGGATTTTTTCATTTGAATATCCCATTTCCAGTAAACTTAAAAATGCTGAATTTGTTTTCGCATTCAGAGTTTGTGACTTTGTTTTCTCAAATCCTTTCGCATGGTCGTCAATGCAACCATTCGATTGTTCTGTTGTCTCCTTCAATTGAAAAATGAAAAATTACAATTAACTTTTGCAAAATCAACATCGTGTTAAAATAATAAGCACATACAATACAGAATGTGGCAAAGAATGTGGCATTTAATTTAGCATGCTATTTACTTGATGTTCAATCTGCACCAAGGCAACAAACTCGTCCCCTTTGTTCTGTCTCAGAAAAGCACACTTCGGAAACCATCTAGCATGTTCTACCCAAGGATCATCCCCAGGTTCCCAATTCCGTAATCCCCCTCCACAGAAGAAACATCGAGTGTAATCCCCGTATCCTGCATACAGAAACCCTGCCATGGCTAAGTCTCTGGGAGTCTGATTGATACTGGAAGGCCAATCTGCGAATGAACTGATTCTGACAGCTAACACAGCATACGAGGGGTACTTTGGACGATCAAAGTTTATACCAAGTGGATCTAATTCTCGGATAAATGCATTAATCTTTTCTTGTTGAGCCCTTGCTCTTGTGAGCTGATCTCTTTGCGTTATGCTTGTAGAATGGTTTTGTATGGATCCATTTTGCAAGTCGTTTCTGTTCCTCTCTGTATGTTGCACCACCCCATTGTTTTTCAGAGTGTTGGGTGCAGGTTTATTAGTGTGCAAATTTTCATGTCCAGCTCCTTGGGAATTTGTTTCTCGACTTATACATTGGTCATCAAAGCCATTTACTTGATTCCCATTGATTTGCACATTACTTGTAGAGCACGAGTTCAGAAGTGGGCAGGCAGGAGAGGCGGTGCGGTGAATAGCATGTACATCATCCCCCTTTCGCCAGTTGCTCTTTTGAAACCCACAAGCAAAACAAATAACTTTATCACTTTCACCGGAATAATAAAATCCTTGACGAGCAAGTTTCAGTGTTGAAACTGAGTTTGAAGAAGGAAAGTTGTGAAATGATCGGAGTCTGATTAACTCCAAATTCATTGAATGCGATTGAGAATTTTGTTCATTGTTTTCTTTGCTTTGAGTAATCTCTCTTTCCACGAATTCGTCAAGGCTTCTTGGATTACCGAATATTGGGTAGAGATAAATGGATTGATTTGCTATTTGATGTATTCCAGAAAGTAAAAATCTTAGACTTTTGGGCAATCGTGAATGTTTACCACTTCTATATGATTTGGGATATCCTTTTTCCGAACGATTTTTTGAATTAGGTTTTTGATCCAATTGCATTACTTTTTCTTTGATATTTTGTATAATGTGTGAGTAACTAAGAGCCATTGGAAGCATTCTGAGGTATTTTCTATATATTTGATAAGCTGTATCTTTATCTTCTCTTAACAAGAGGGAATGCCTAACCCTTAAGGTATATTTTGTTTTTAAGTAGTATTTTTCAGCACATTGACTGAAATGTTTCTCAACAGCTTTCGGTGTTTGCTCTCTTGTAGCTAACAATCTTGATTTTGATAAGGAAATATTGTATGTTTGCTTTCCCTTATTTCTTAACACCGTTTTATTTTTATTACGCAATACGATGGGCACATTTTTTACATCTCGTTCAATTTTATGAACAATCCTTTCGATTCTCTCCACATGCTTGTGAAGACAAGCACATCGGTATCCATCATTATGATACCGACACTCTCTTGCACTCTTTCCTATCTTTGGTGTATGTTTAAATATTTGGTCCTCACATTTTGTTTGGTCTTTGTCATTTGGTTTCCGTAATGCTCTCTCAATTCCTTTTGATTCATAGCCATCTATGCTGCACGATCCTATGCTATGGGAACTTTCCACAACATTCTTCAGACACTTCGCACTTTCTATGCTAGTGAATTTCCCTTCAGGTTTGGTATGCAGGTGCCATTTGTTTTCTACACCAATATTGTCATCGTACACAACACACTCCTTTTTCTGATGATTTTTTCTTGACCTTAACTCTTTCTCTTCCTCGTAATTCATCTATCTCAACGTGGTTTCGCCTCTCTTTGATTTTGAATATAATGACCTAAAGCAAATTATTTGATAACTGCATATAAGATAAATTTGTTCAGTGAAATCATTATTACTTTGAACAATTTTACCAACCTGTGAGCCAATTATCTGCCTTCTGTGAAAGAATGCCATGGTTTATCTACATCTGGAAAGTGATGTCATACATCTTGTATCCTTCATTTTATCTACAGAAAAGCAAACTGTCTGAATTTTTCTAGATAACATTTATATTTTCTTTAAAATATTTACCAAAAAAAATTACAGTCTCCGTTTCTTAATATATAATAGTAAATAGATTGTCATTGTAATGATAACAAACATACAAATACGTGTACTGTATGTCATCGATCGTTTATATGTGACAAAAAATTGCCAGTCATACTCACTCGACAGTATTTTCGTGTATTGATCATATGTGAGACCATCAAATAACACATACAAGGACAATCCTTTGTTTTATTTTTATAAAGTTCTTATTCATATGACATTTAGAAGTAGTGAAAAAGGGAAACCAAAGATTTAGAAATTTTCCATTTAGTTAATTTCAAAACAGAGCTCACTTACGTTAAGTGTGTATTCCTCATTTCAATCAGCACACTAAGCCGAAGTATGTGCAATTTTATACGTTTATGAATGAAATGTAGGCGCAATGACGTAAGAGTATTAGATTTTAGGGAGAATTGATTTTTTTTTCTATGCTGTTCTTTTCTGTATATGTTCAAGTCTACGTGATAAAACTGAAAGACGTAGCACAACTTCATTATTCTGTTTCCATAAGATCATTAAAATTAGACTGATTTTTATAAATATATAGTCGATATTGATAATACATGAGAGAGTTTATATTGTTATAATTCTAACATAAAATTATACCTCCATATGTTGTATGACGTTTAAACTATTAAACTTCTTGTATTTTTATGGACTCATGGGGGATAATACATTGATTTCATTTAAAAAATAATAATAAAACCTAAAAAAAAATTGCTATGAAAATTACATGTATAAAAACGTGTAAGATTTGTCTGCGTTTGTGTATTTGTAATGTTATGACATAAATGACCTGTTCATAAAATTTTCATTTAATTCTCAAAATTTGTAGCTCTCCACTGGCAAGTGACGTCTCCGTATGAGTGCAAAATTCTCGAGAGGGACGTTATTTAAAGGTACAAACGTTTGATTTTTAAAGGTTTATTATTTACCTCTACAATTTGAATTCCCTTCATATTTTGCCTGAATACCAATGTAAAAAGACAAATAATGTCTAAAATTAATCATAAATCTTTCTTTTCTTTCCTTAGTGTAAATAATCGTCCATGTAACGCTAATTTGATGACAAAAGATATCATTGAACTTCGCACAACTATATAGTTACTACTTGTTATCTGCTGCATTTTCCCACGCAGCTAACATATATATACGCATTAAATTCCCACAATTGCCTGGACGTGGTCGCGTTTTTAATAATATGGGAAAAATTGTTTGTGAGTTAATAATAAAGAAAGGTCATACTTAAAAATTTTGATATTTTATACACTTTATCCTACACGAAATTGTTGATCTGTGAATGGGAGGAAATGCTACATAGCTTAAACTGTATCAATATTCAAAAGAGACTTATAATTAGTTCAAATCAATCTTTCTATACCAGCAAAAACATTGATTGATCTTTAAACAAATAAATGCATTCCGATGCCCCCGCAATGTACTGTACAGATAATCCATGCGGTCTCTTAAACTCTGAATTTTTAACACACCTTGTAATTCTTATATTTGAATATGAGGTTTAAAGAATGTTATTCTTGTTATTTGTAATTTTGCATTCCTTCAAGCATTCAGTGCATAAAGGATTGTATTATAGGCATGCAACTCATTGATATATCTTTATATCTATAATAATGGTAACCCTACAGTAAAGGTATAAAAGACAATAAATGGGTTTTAGTGAGTTGTATTCCATTATACAAACTTTTACAACTGCATGTTCTAAACACTTTTAAGATGATTGATTGCAGGAAATATTCAAAAGGAAGAAGCTTTTAAAGCAGGTTATGAATTTGAGAATCCAAATCAGACATACAACATATTTTGAATATTTTTCTTTTATTTTCAAGTTATATTTGAAACATCTTACCGTAAATATTTTAAATGATTTTTTTTTTGTTTCAAAAGGTTTTACGAATGTTGAGAAATATTGAAGGGAGGGAGTATATCCTTTTTCTTAATTATAGTTGCCTGAAGTTTTTCAATAGCAGAAGGGTATCGCTAATTACAGCGTTATTGAGTAAACTTTAACAGTTTTAAGCCATCAACTATCAAGGTACTTTTCATTTCCTTTTTTCATTGGACCTTATACACCAACCAAACATGAATAAAGGATTTGTTAAGAAAAAATATTTATCAGAAATTGCGTTAAACAAAAGTAAGCGAAATTCATATTTCTGAAATAAAGGCATCATTGTAAAGGCATTTTTAATTTTCTACATGTATATGCTAAACGGAAAAAAAACCCTTTACGTCCAATATACGATACAACAGGCTATAAGCCAAAAATGAGGGGGAAATATTGTATGAACAATATTTCTTATATGGGTTTTAGTGGAGAGTTGTTTTCCATTATACAAGAAAACATTTTTGCAATAAACACATATAAAAACTGCATGTATTAAACATGTAATATTGATAAGATGTAAAATTGATTGCAGGATATAATCAAAAGGAAGAAGCTATGAAAACAGGTTATAAATTTTAGAATCCAAATCAAAATCTACTTAAAAGTTATATATATTGCAATAAATATAGCTAGGTGGAATCCCACGTAACCGCTTGGGAAGTATTTTTTTTTCACTTTTCTGAATTAATTTGTAATAAAAACTTTATTTGGATATATGCTGTACAATACTATTACTTTTCATACTACTTGTGTTCTTCTTTCACTTTTGGCCTGCTAAATCATAAATGAAAATAAAATGAATAGATTATAGTGCTTAAGAAACGTTAATCCTACTTTTTTAAGGTGATGTAAAGATGTTTTATTTCTTCTTAGTCGTATAAATAAACTGATCATATATAAAAACTCTGCTTTATATTCAAACCATTATGTACACGAAGATTATTACGGGAAAAAATTAGGAAGACAAAGAGATTAAATAGATTATAACAATTGTACAATGATGAAACAAAAAAGATTACACAACGTTTCAAAAACGTTTAAGAAAGTTTTAAAAGAGGTTTTTGCATGACTACCTACGAATAGTCATTATTATATCTGTGAAAGATTCCAATAATATAGTCGAAGCCATCTAGGAGAACATTTATGGACACACTGTGTATAAAAATGTGCGAAATCGTTAATCCATTTTACCGTACCTTTCTTTAAAGCAATATGAGCTGCAAATTTGACATGGAAAAATTTTGTTGCAAATTTGTAATCAACTAATTCAATGACAGAAAAATAGTGTATTTATAAACTTCTGTTGGTCATATTTGCAATGGAAGAACTTTTTGTAAGCTTTAATTGGAGCAAAATTACATTTTTGTCGTCCTTTTATTATATAATGCTATATATTTGATTGTACAGAAATATTTCTCTTGAAACAAATAAAAATTTTATTTTGGTTTTATTATTCATAATGAGTTAAATCACATATGAATTAATCATAATAACACATTTTATCACCGAAACAAATTTTTCAGAAATGTAGCTAGTATTGCTTTAAATTAAATTATTCGTTCTTTTTGTTCATTCTGTTTCAATATTTTACATAAATCAATTTTATGGGAATTGAAGATTTGAACAAACTTGAATCTACACTACCTGAGGATGATTCAACATGAGTTTCATGTTTCCTGTCCCAATAGTTCTTGAGAAGAAGATTTTTTAAATATTTTCCCTACATATTCCTATGTATGACTTTGATCAGAAATTGTGGGCCCCGCCCTACTCCCAGGGGTCATGATTTGAACCAAATTGAATTTACACTACCTAAGGATACTTCCACATAAAGTTTCATTTTTCCTGTCCAACTGGTGCTGGAGAAGAAGGTTTTTAAAAGATTTTCCCTACATATTCCTATGTAAAACTTTGATCAGCCATTGTGGCCCCGCCCTACCCCCGGGGAAAATGATTTTAACACACTTTAATGTACAGTACATAAGAATGTTTCCAAATCAGTTTCATCTTTCCTGGTCGAATGGTTCTGGAGAAGATTTTTAAAAGACACCATTAATTTTTCATTAATTCATAATTATCTCCCCTTGGAAGTTAGCTTGGCCTTTTTTAAACAAACTTGAATCCCCTTTACCCAAGGATGCTTTGTGGCAAGGTTGGTTGAAACTGGCCCAGTGGTTCTTGAGACGAAGATGAAAATGTGAAAAGTTTACAACGACGACAGACGACGGACAAATTTTGATCAGATAACGCTCACTTGAGCCTTCGGATCAGGTGAGGTAAAAAATACCAAAAAAAAAAAAAAGAAAAAAAAAAGAAATTTGAAACGTATGACTTTCTTTTGGAAAAAATGCTATCTTTTGAGAGAAAGGGATAAAATATATTTTACCAAAATTTTTTCTTGTAAATTTACATATGTTGTGGTTTTTTTTCATATATCTTAACCATGGCCTTGGTCAAACCCTAATTATTATCTGACTTTATAAGAACGGTTTTCAAAAAATTATTTCTGAGTGGAAATGCCAATCACAATTTCTTAAGGGTTTTTCAAACGGAAATGAGATTGACATTTGAATGAAGCATAACTTCTGTTGACTAAAGATAGCAAATCACTGCATCACGTTAATACTTTTTTAGTAATAAAACTTGGAAATATTTATCAATAGGAATAGCATTTTTTAATTCAGGGTTATAATATTCAATTTTTCCATGTGATAAGGGTAATTCCAGTTCCTTAGCATACGTTTTACGAAATCGTAGTAAATTAGGGAGAGGACAGAATTAGTTTGGAAGTCAAGGTATATATGTAAAATGATAAACCAAAGTATCCCCCCCCCCAAAAAAAAAAAAAACTTTTGTTTTCTCATAAATTTGAAAAAAGTTGAATCCGTGTTCAATTACTTTGTGAAATATTCTAATTTATGGGATATGCTATAAGAATTACAGTTTCCTTTATTTTTTAACTAAAACTAAATTCACAACTAGGTTAAATAAAACTTTTAATGATCAAAAGGAAAGTATTAGGTTTATAAGAAAAAGCGGTTATATAAGATTTTTTTAAATAGTTAAAGTATCATTCATTGTCGGAAAGAAGTTCGTTTAACTCGATCGACATAG